TTCTCCCTCTGACCCTCCTCCCTCTCATGCTCTCTGTCTCTCATTCTCTCTGTCTCAAATAAATAAATAAAATCTTTAAAAAAAAAAATTAAAAACTTCTATGCTTCAAAGGACATTATTAAGAAAGTAAAAACAACACACAGAATGGGAGTAAATGTTTGCAAATTGTATCTGATAAGGGTCTAGTATTTAGAATACATAAGAAGTCTTTTTTTTTAAAGATTTTGTTTATTTATTTGACAGAGAGAGACACAGTGAGAGAGGGAACACAAGCAGGGGGAGTGGGAGAGGGAGAAGCAAGCTTCCCGCGGAGCAGGGAGCCAGATGCAGGGCTCGATCCCAGGACCCTGGGATCATGACCTGAGCCAAAGGCAGATGCTTAACGACTGAGCCACCCAGGCGCCCCCATAAAGAAGTCTTGAAACTCAACAACAAACAACCCAATTGAAAATGCAGAATAGTCTCAGAAAGAAAAGAGCCTGGTCCTTCTACTTCCTCTTCATCCCTAAATTTAAAACTACTAGGAAACCTCTTCATGGTGATGGTTTTAGCCTCTTGTTTGTTAAAGGAGAGGGGACCTGTTGGGGACCTGCATGCAGAGTCCTGCTGGGTAAAGTTGTCTCTTGCTGTGTGCCTCTTGACATTAGCAAGATGAGTCTGTAATTCATCGTTCAGTTGCCTTATATGTTCATGTCTTCACAGTCACTAGATGAGGCAGGGTGATATTTATTTCTGTTCTTAGTTATATGAGCATAATTAATGGATTAAGTTAAAGGATCTAAATAATGCCAAAAGGCCTTGGATCACTGGTCACAGTCCACTAAAATAAGTTCTTTAAATTCATTATTTAATAGCAAACTGCTAATTGATATATAAAAGCCTCTAGATGTTTAACAATCTTGATTAAAAGGGCTTAATCATGATTCTTTGAATGTTAAAGTCCATGATTATCAAACAGTTTTTGTGAATAGGTTCTACTGAATGGTGAACTCGCCTATGAAGATTACTGATAATAGACAGTTGATAGGATTTATTTATTTATTTATCTTTAAAGATTTAGTTATTTATTTATTTTAGAGAGAGCGAGCAGTGGGGAGGGGCAGAGCAAGAGGGAGAGAGAGTCCTAAGCAGACTGCGCTAAGCGTGGAGCCTGATGTGGGACTCAATTTCATGACCCCAAGATCACGACCCGAGCCAACACCACATCAGTCACTTAACTGACTGAGCCCCCAGGTGCCCCAGGATTTATTTTTTTATATTTATGTTTATTTACAGAACTTGAATTTTTAAAGTATCATAAATACTTAAAATAGTTAGACATACATCAGGAGTGATAGAAAAGGAAGTGCCCTGCCACATAAATTATAGCAACTTGACACCAGTAAATTTGAATAAATTCAAATAGAGTACCTAGAATGGAATTCTGAGCTACACACTTAGTCCACTCTATGTTCACACAAGGTAAGAGAATGAAATGTAGCCCAACATGATTTGTCATTCTTCTTTTTCCCAAATGTTACCCACCTGGCAGTTCCCTTCTGTGAAGGCAATTCCCCACAACCTAAGACCACAAGGCAAGACCTCCAACTCTGTTGGATTGCTTGCTCTTCCCACATGAAATTACAAAAAAAAAAAATAGTCCAGATCACCATGCTCTGTCCATAAAATAAATCCTTGTTTACCTTCTGGGCCAACCCACTCCGTGCCCCTTCATAATCTTTGCTCACAGTCATCTTCTTTACTTTTGTACCTTATCTTCTACTACAGACCCAGTCAGCAATGTATTTATCAGCCTTTCTTTCCTTCCCCTTTCACACTGAATGCTCTCTAGCGCCTCCAGTTTAGAGCCTGGAATCAAGAAATTACATTATACCAGGGCTGCCTTGCTTTTTTAATAGAATGGCCTTCAAAGTTGACTAAGCATAAAAACTGGCTAGTTTGGAAAGGGACTTTGTAACTTTGGAAAGAATGTAAAAATTCCTAATGCCTCTTGTTAGTGAATTGATAATGAGTGAATGCAAAGAAGAATAAAGATTAAGGAGAGTGACAAATAGGGACAATCATTTGGAGTTTTTAAAAAGATCATTATCATTAATTTGCATGCCATGAATGAAAAATAATCAAATCAACCTTAAGTCAAATCTCTCTATGTAATGTGTATTTTATTTTTATCAGCTACATTTTTAAAACAATCACAAGCACCATCTTACACGCAAGACTTCGGCTTCTGTACAGTTAAAATATATATATTATGTGGCAGCTCTGCAGCAGAGTCCTGCCTGGTACTTCCCAACTCTCAGCTTCATCTCCCCATCGCAGGAAATATGCTGGGGGCTCCTCCCGGATGCCCACTCTCTGCTCTGTGCCCTGGAAACTCACAAAAGACAGTAAGTGGGGACAGCTGCAGAGCTGACCTCGTTTTCTCCCCTTTACTCAGGGATCACTGTCCTTCACTGCCTGATGTCCAGTGCCTTGAAAACCATTGTTTCAAATTGTCCAGTTTTTTTTTTTGATGTTTTATTTATTTATTCATGAGAGTCAGAGAGAGAGAGAGAGGCAGAGGCAGAGGGGAAGCAGTCTCCCCGCCTAGCAGGGAGCCCAATGCGGGACTCGATCCCAGGACCCTGGGATCATGACCTGAGCCAAAGGCAGACGCCCAACCATCTGAGCCACCCAGGCGCCCCGAGTCTGTCCAGTTTTTTGTTTGTGTCAGATGGGATGGTGAATTCAGCCTGTGGTACTCCATCATGGTCAGAAGGGAATCTTTAACTAGATCTCTAACAGCTGAAAAAATAAATCTTGGGCGCCTGGGTGGCTCAGTTGGTTAAGCGACTGCCTTCGGCTCAGGTCATGATCCTGGAGTCCCGGGATCGAGTCCAGCATCGGGCTCCCTGCTGGGCAGGGAGTCTGCTTCTCCCTCTGACCCTCCTCCCTCTCGTGCTCTCTGTCTCTCATTCTCTCTGTCTCAAATAAATAAATAAAATCTTTAAAAAAAAAAAAAGAAAAAATAAATCTCATGGGAGCCCAATTTCTCACCTTTCCACCGAATCAATTATATTTCACATATATTATGTAATATTGCTCTATTAAGGGGGGATGGTTAAATCACATTCAAATGTTTACAACAGAACATCTCACGAGCTTTGGGAAAATACTTTTTCAGTGTCAGTTAAAGGGAAACTGTTATCACAAGATTGCTTTATCAAGAATCAGGAAGTACGGTGAAATCAGCATTAGATTTTGAAAAATACTGTCATGAGCAGGAGGCTAGATATATTAGGTATCCGACTGGAAAACATACTTGTCAGAATTGTCTCACTGGGTTAATGTCTTCATCAGTTGCCGTGATGTCGACCACCAACAGCACGAGGGCTCCCACTTTGCCGCTAAGCCCTCGCATTACTCTAGCGTTTTTAATGGGCTTACTAGCTTTTGCTATAATGCTGGGAAATGCTGTGGTCATTCTAGCTTTCGTGGTGGACAAAAAGCTTAGACATCGAAGTAATTACTTTTTCCTTAACTTGGCCATTGCTGACTTCTTTGTTGGTAAGTTACGTATCTTTATTTCAGATCATCTTTTCCAATTATAATCTATTTCTAAGACCTTAAAATTAGCTTTCTTTTTCTTTTTTTTAAATAAGCTTTTGTTATTTTTAGGGACTGTATAGAATTGGGGATGTTAAAAACAAAGTTTTTTTTTTTTTTTTTAAAAAAACAAAGTTTTTTTTTTTTTTTAAAGATTTTATTTATTTTTATTTGAGAGAGAGGGAGTACATGAGAGGGGGGAGGGTCAGAGGGAGAAGCAGACCCCCTGCCGAGCAGGGAGCCCGATGCGGGACTCGATCCCCGGGACTCCAGGATCATGACCTGAGCTGAAGGCAGTCGCTTAACCAACTGAGCCACCCAGGCGCCCCTAAAACATAAAGTTTTAAGAATTAAAGTTCTGGGGAGGCTATATGGCACTTTAGGGGAAGAGTTTATATGTGTAAATCAGGCTTGTAGGAGAATTTTCGTTTGACAACAGTTTATTTTCTTTTTGTAGAATAAAAATAAGTCCAGAATAGTTCTGAAATTGCTTTAGTCTAAGAGTTACTTGTTTCTGGACCTATTTTCCTTGTATGTTTAGGTTTATAAGTATGTGTAGAAATGTCAGTTGATGATACTGCTTTATAGGACCTTCTAGTATAATTTAATTTGTCATTGTCTACAGCTACATAAATGCTTTCATTTATTTTATGGTTAAACAAAACTCGTGAAATACGTACTTTATTGCCTGGAACATAGGGTTGCTCAACAAATGTTAGGCCTCTTCTCTTTTGATTTCTCTGCAGATAGGTGTCAACTCAAACCAAGGTCACAAATGATAGTAGATTACCCCTATCATGGTAAGGACTATTAAGTACTCAAGTATGATTAGATAATGAGATAGATAGAAGACTAAGTTAGGTTCTTTCTTTGGTAAGCTTTCAATGTAGAAGAGTGAATAAGAGAAGCTCACAAGTGATTCTAACAGTATAGAGTATGATGTGAGAACCACAGAGACATACCAAGTGCTATGGGTACTCAGAGGAAGGAGAGAGCACCTTTGGTTAATGGGTAGCAGCATCTGAAATGAACTTCAAAGGATGGGTAGAATTTCCATAGGCGGAGATGGAGAGGAGTATTCCAAGAATCAGCAAAGACATGCTGGTAGAAAATCATTGTGTACATCTTCCTAAATGTGAGCTCCTGGCTGGCTGTATGGGATCAGTAGGGGATAAAGTTGGAGTAGTTAGAATCTATATAATGAAGGCCCTTGAATACTAGTGTGTCTGGATTGGAGGTTACTCAACAGCCAATGTGGAGATCTGGATTTTTAAAGTAGGTGAGAGATCCGATGGATTGAACCTTTACCTTAGAGGCATTAATGGGGACGTAGCAGGTGAGAGAAGCTGGAGCAGGCAGCCGCTTGGCTTCAGAAACAATCCTGCAGGGGTGCCTGGGTGGCTCAGATGGTTAAGCGTCTGCCTTCCATGATCCCAGGGTCCTGGGATCGAGCCCCACATAGGGCTCCTGGCTCAGCGGGGAGCCTGCTTCTCCCTCTCCCTCTGCCTCTCCCCCTGCTCATGCTCTCTCTCCCTCTGTATCTCTGTGTCTCAAATGAATAAATAAAGTCTTAAAAAAAAATTCCTGCAGCAGTCTAGGCACAAGTCATATGTTAAGGCTCTGAGCTACTGTGGGGACAGTGGACAGGAAGTTGGGGAGGGAGGCAGAGCTGCAAGGGGGGCGGTTTGGGCAGGAGAAAGAGAAAAATGAGATAAAGATTAGGTTCTTATTAAGATTAATAAGATAAAGATTAAGTGAGACAAGAAAACTATGGCACAATTGGTAACTCCAGGTAACTCACATTAACAACTTGAGGTAGATCCTTCTACATCATTCTCTATAATCACAGAAACAGGTAAAACTATATGACTATATTCATGTGTGAACAGAGAGAATATTCTGCTATAAATATACTTACCCTCTTTACCTTCTTCACAGAACTGTACAACTTTTAGATAATACTTAGGACTTACAGTCGATTCTGTATTTTGACTAACTCAAAGGGAGTGCTGGTGGGGAGGGCTGGGATACAACTATACCCAGCAGAGGGAGCCTGAGGCCTGAAGCTTTTGAACAAAGATGGTACTAGATAAGAACAGAGTGGTTCCTCATGTGGCCTAATGCAAGCACCAGGGCAGGCCCCACGATCATGGGCTTGGGCACCACAGTTTAAAGATGTGATGTGTCTCGGGGAAATGTTCCTGCAGATGTAGATGGGGGTCCCCTGCCACCAGCAGGTGGATGGAAAAAGAAAATGGCTTTGCTGCTGATGAGAGAAATCGAACATAAGCCAGAATCTCTCTCAATCTGCCAGTCTCCTCCTTCACATTTCCCCTGCCCCCTGCCAGCTTCATCCAGAGGTGTACTTACTTAACAATATTTGCCACAATGCTATCAGAATCAGGGCAGTCTCTGAGAACTTTCTGTCACAAGATTAGAGTTTTGTGTTGAGGCTGTCCTTTTTCCTTAGCCATGCTCAGAAGTGGGCTTTTTGGTTCTGAGCCTGTAGGCTCGTGACAGTGGTTCTGGGCCAGGGCAGAACTCATGAGAGTTTTGCTGTAATTGTATGGCAGCCATTCTTCATGTTTTGCTCAGGAGACCTCGAGCTCCAGAACCATGTGGCAATGGCCTGGAGCATCACATGTACTAGGTATTGGGGGCTTTTAGCTGAATGCTCTCTTCTCACAGGTTTTAAAACTGGCCTCTAATCGAAAATCTAAATTTGTGGCACCTGAGTGACATCCCAGGCTGAATGTAGGGTTGGAAAGCAAAGTTTTTTTTTTTTTTTAAAGATTTTATTTATTT